TGGCCTGGCCCTGCATCACCCGCGCTTGCTGCATCGCTCGGTTCTGGAACCAGCTGGATAAAGCTGATATCGCCGTTCCTCTCGTTTTTACCAAATATTCGGAAGCCACCGAACATCCCACCGCCCCCTCGTCCCATCCGCGTCCCACCGCCCCCATCGATACCCAGCCTGGAGCTGAGGCTGCGGGAGGGGGGGAACGGGAACCCCGACCCGGTCCGGTCCCTCACGCTTCTCCTCCAGCTGATTCCGTTATGAGACACGATTATAAACCCTGGAAGGTTCAACGACCAGAACCCAAAAGCGAATATCAACCTTCGGACACCCCCTTCGAGAAGGAGACCCAGTACCAGAAGGATTTCCGTGCCTGGCCCATCCCCAAGCGGGGTGACCATCCCTGGATCCCCAAACCTGGACCATCCCCTGTTCTCGCCTTAGACCGTGATTCTCCAGAGAAACCAGCTCAGGAGAAACGCCGGAAGGTGCTCGTTGGTTCTGAGAAGAAGGAGGAAGATGTCGAGGTGGAGGATGAACATCCCAAAGCGATTCGAGCTGGGGATGGGAGAGAGAAAGGGAAGAAGAAGGTGGAGGAGGTGGACGCGGGCAGGGGCAGGGCGGCCGCAGATGCTCTCAACAGACAGATCAAGGAGGAGGTGGCGGCAAGGTGGCGGCGGCGGGGGTCAGCTCATCCTATAGGTAAGACCCCCCCACATACCTCCTTCCATCACCCCATCCCGACCCACAACCCACCGGTTTCTCAGCAGACCTTCTCCAGTACCTACTTGCCCATCCTCTGTCCCCTCTTGCCCATCCCCTGTCCCCTCTCACCCATCCTTGGTCCCTTCTCACCCATCCTTGGTCCCCTCTTGCCATCCCCTGTCCCTTCTTGCCCATCTTCTCTCCCCTCTTGCCCACCCCCTGGCTCTTCTCGTCCATCCCCTGTCCCTACTTGCCCATCCCCTGTCCCTTCTTGCCCATCCCTTGTTTCCTCTCTCCCATCCCCTGGAGGGACATCCTCCCCTGGGGGGGGTGGGGGGGAATGAGAAATGCAACTCTGAAGCATTTCAGGGGGGTTTGCTGATCTCCTGGGAGGGTCCTTAAAATTCCCCACCTCTCTGGGTGTCATTGATGGGGCGCAGAAGGTGCTGTGCAGGTGGTGAACCCATGGATCCTTCTTGCCGGGTGGGTTTGGAGCGGGTTTGCCTGTGTGTCCCCCTCTCCCCCCTCCCACCACATCCCAAAATTCAGAGACACCCACCACCACCTTGATTTTTGGCAGGGAGAGGTTTGAGATGTGCAAGTCCCCTTCACTGGTCCTTTTCTCACACCCCAGAAACCCACCCGTGATACAACAAACCTAAAGGACCAACATCCTGACAACATCACCTGGGGGTCCCACGCACGAGTGGGGTACCCCACACATGAGAAGGTCCCACCCATCATCCCAGACCAGCAGAATCCCCAGGACAAAGCGTCCCAGGGATGCGGGTGACGCGTGTCCTAGGCCGCTTGGGTGGGGCAGCCTTCAGATGCTGCCATGTTTAATGCAGCACGGCAGCGGGGGGGTGGTGGTGGTGGGAGTGTCACGTCCCTCCATCCCTGGTCTAAACAAAGGTGCCCTGATTTCACCCCAAGAAGAGACCTTGCTTGAGATTCGGAGCATGAAACTCCTCTCCACGAGACGTTGTTGTTATTTCTCTCTGGATGAAAAGAGGTCGGATGTGTTGGGAATGTAAAACAAAAGTGATGAGGTGACAGCTCTGCACGTACGTGTGTAAGGAGGATTTGCTGTGATTGTCTTTTCCAGAGCTTTCTTTGGCAGAACCTACCACCACTGAGGCCAGAGTGGAGGTTGCAGAGAGCAAAGCTGGGGGGTTGTTGTGATCAAAGTGTCATCATCGTTGGGTTTTTTTGCTTCTCCCTGTACCCGTGTGAACGCCGAGATGTCTATGCTGTTACATGAATGATTGATTTTCTTCCCCAGGGGGGAGGGTTTAGAGGTGACAACCTACCATCAAACAGGTCCTAAATTCATGTAGATTTAGAATGAAGCTGACTCCTCTGTCCCACCGGTGACTGTGTGGCACAGACCTGGAGATCATCATCTTTCCCATGTCCCCGGGTAGGAGATGGTTCAGTGAGATTTTGATTTTTACTGTAGTTTGGTGTCAGCTCTGGCTTTTGCTGGGGCTGTGAGTGATGCTGTGGGCTCAGGTGCATCCAGATGTGATGGTGGTGGTCAGCTGAGACGTTGAGAAAATGGCCAGGGATTTTTGGAGGCTGTGGGGAAAGGGTTTTCCAGAAGTGACACTGTCCTTTAATTTGTTTTGGCCAGCTGTGATTTTTAACTTAGCTTTTTGTCTGGTCACCTTCCAAGGTCTGGACCCACATCAGTGATGGCAGAACTAAAGCAGAAAGCTCTCCTAGACCTGAGGAGCTGTTGTGTTGTTCTCTTCCTCTGATGCAAAGGATAATTAGGCTTATTTACTTGAGTATTTAAATACAGATCGCTCACCCTTCCATCCCTCCATGTACCATCTCTCCTGTCTGCTCCAACAAATCCATCTGGCCACCATGGCAGCAGGGTGGACTGGGCTGGGTTTTCTTCCTAAGCAAAGAGGATGGGTCAACTCAAACACTGACATTCCTCTTGGGTCAAGTTCCTCTTGGGTCAACTCAAAGGTCGAAATTCCTCTTGGGTCAAGTTCCTCTTGGGTCAACTCAAATGTTGAACCCAAGAGGAACTTGAAGGCTTCAGCCCTCTTCTGTTGCTCCTCATCTTTCAGGGTTTCTCTTTCCCCTTGAATCCCTCATCTGCTTTCCCACTTCCATATTTTTAATTCCTTGCAGCAAATTGCAAGAGAAGTGTTTGCTCTGATGCTCAGCCCTGGAACAGAAGCGCCTCTTCATTAATGCATAAGTGATGTTGTGGCTAATTGTTCTCATTTTCTGTTCAAATTAGGCCTCTTTTTAAGTGTTGTTTATTGTTTGGGTTCTTTTCAAAAGCCAAATTCTCCAAATCCTTATTACTATCAAGAACCTTGCTGCTCACAGGAGTCCCTACTGGGTGGGTGTCAAACATCTCCAAGGATGGAGACTATTTGGGCCACTTTTTAGGCTACCCAGCAGTCAAAATTATCTCCTAGTGACCTTTTGCCAACAAGGAGCAAGGATGACTCGCACAGGATTTGTTCTCCATGGCCTTGGCTGTGGTCATGCATGGGTCAACACTGCCCAGCAGCAGAGAACAGGGGGAGATTTCCTTACAGCTCTTCTGCAAATCAGCGTAACATGATGCTCCAAGGCTGGGAGACAATTCCTTGGTGTGACCAAAGAGCTCAGGTCATGGCTTTTAAATCTGCTCTGTCCTCCTGAGTATTATTTCCAGGTGAGGGAACAGAGTATGGGATGGAGTAAGCAACTAGCCCAAGGTCATTGGGAAAGTCCATGCTAAAGGGAGGAATTCCCTTTTCTAACCTCTTTAGACCCAGAAGAAATGAATATTGCAGAGGCCACGTGCCTGTGACCTCCTCCCAGGTCTGCCTGGACCTACAGAGCAGAGGTGATGGCCATGGAGGATGGAGGCTACTCCAGCCCAAGGTATGGATCATAGAATCATTTAGGTTGGAAAAGACCTTTAAGATTGAGTCCAGCCATTAAACTAACACTGACAAGTCCACCATTAAAACATGTTCCCAAGCACCACATCTACATGTCTTTTAAATACCTCCAGGGATGGTGACTCCACCACTTCCCTGAGCACCCTGGTCCAATGCTTAGTAAACTTTTCAGTGGTGAAATTTCTCCTAATATCCAATCTGAACCTCTCCTGGCACAACTTGAGGCCATTTCCTCTTGTCCTGTCCCTTGGTCCTTGGTTGAACAGACCCACCCCCACCTCTCTCCACCCTCCTCCAAGGGACTTGCACAGAGCCACAAGGTCTCCCCTCAGCCTCCTTTTCTCCAGGCTCAACACCCCCAGTTCCCTCAGCCACAAGGGAACTCATCACACTTGTGCTCCAGACCCTTCCCCAGCTCCGTTCCTCTTTGGGACATGCAATCATTATTTGTTGGCATTAGTGTTTGAGCCCAGATGCCTTCAACGAGGCCAGAGTAGCTGTGGCAGGGCTGTGCTCCTCTTTGTGGGGAAACTGAGGCAGAGGTGCTGAGTGACCTGCCTCAGCCCACACTGGTTGGGGTCAGGGTGCAGCTCTGGGACATCATTTACTGTTGTTCTACTGGGGTTGAGGTGATGGAAGCCACCACTATGACCAGGTGTGCTTTGATATGACAGAGGTTCCAACACTGAGGTGCTTCTTGCCTCAGTTTCCCTCCCCAAAGCATGTGTTGCCCAAGTAGTGCTAGAAGGGCAGGTTGCATCTCCCTTCTCTTCTCTGCAGTTCCGTTTCTCATGGTGGCTTGTGGACCCTGAGGGACAAAGTAAGGACCAGGGCATCCTTCAGCAAGCAGAACTTGGTTTAAGTGGCTGACCTGACATCTAGACAGGAATCAGGACCCAACCTGGGGGCTGTTGCTGATAGATGGAGTCTTTTCTTGTTCAACTCTCTGGTGTCCCATAGGAGGATCTGATGGAATCATTGAGGTTTTTATCTGTACTGGGAACAGAGGTGGCCTTGGTGACCCCAGTACTTGAGTGCTTGGGTGGAGATTTTGCCCCCTGAACTCCTGGGACGGATGGACAGAGCTCTTCTCCTGCTACACTGAAGGATGGAGGGGGCTGTGGTTGACCCTGGAGGTCTGGGACCAGAGAAAGTAGATGATAAAACGTGCAGAAAATGGTGTTTGCTGGTGGAAGTGGAACAATTAGAAGCACATTTGGCAAAAAAATATGAGAAGAAATGAATGTTTTCCAATTTTCTTTGAAAGCGATGGAAAAATGTTAGAATTAGGTGTCTCCTGGGTGTAATTTTTTTTTCCTTCTTCTTCTTTGTCTTGCATTCCTCTCTCTTTTGTTACCTTTATTCCCTGGAGAAAAAACAAAGATACAAAAGGGAAAGGAGAAATTTCACCCCTTTTACAGAGTGTCAAAATGAGTAGTCAGGTGATGAATTTTTCCCCCGAGAAGTAATATTACAAAATGTAGTTTTCAAATTCTTCACCAAAAAGAGATTTTTATTTATTTATTTTTTTTTTTTACCAAAGCAATGATTTATTTTATTTTTTTCTTTCCCCCCTTTCAGAAGAAACAAACCAAGAAAAGCTTCAATGGAAAATTTGGGATTACCTCTCGTATTAATGAATTGCCTGTTGCTCACGTTGTTGTCATTCATCTCAAGCCCTGGAGGTACTAAAGATGTGGAGCAGATCGAAATTGGTAGTAGCTATAGAGATGAATGAGTCAGTGCTGGAGATTTACTGTGTATTTTTCTGAGATAATTTAGGGAGGAATGTCCACACAGGAGGACTGGAGTGAGCTACACAAGGGCAGGGAGTTCATCATCCATCATTATAGTTGTGGAAATGGAGGGCTAGAAGAACCTCTCAAGATCATCTGGTTCACATCTCATTTCTCAGGAAGGGGGTGATAAATCTAGACCACACCATGTTGATTTTATCTAAGCTATTCTTGAAAAATATCCAGTGGAGGACATGTCCCATCTTGGTGAGACACTCAGTAACAGTGCTCGTGCTGTTGGGTGTGCCAAACTTGGTGGGAAATTTTCTGTTGCCTTCTG